GGTGGATCCATGGGGGGGGGGTAGCATATATATATATAGAATAGCGAAAGTCAAGCAAGCATGGGCAATCAAAACCAAAGCTGAGGTGCATGGCTTCGCCACGTACACTTTACCCACAGGTGCCAAGTACGAGGGTGAGCCCAGAGCTTAGTCGCGCGCTGCGCGGTTCCAATTCAGTCGGACAGGACTGTGTGCAGAGACTCCAAAACAACATATTAAGCTGACAGAGACGTCAAATACAGCAGTCCCTGTAACATCCCGCAGCAGAGGATTTGTTACAAAAAGACCGGTCATGCGACAACCCCCCCCCCGCCCTGGCTGCAAGCCCCCCGATGCCCAAGGCCAGCACGACAGGGTTTCAAAAAAAGGGTTGCCCCAGAGCATGCCCGTGTCACTTTCTTCAAGAGTCCCCAGCCTTCACGACTAGCGAGCTCCCTAATATCCGCAAATCTCTTGCGACATAGTTAGCCTGCCATGTCTCAGGTGGCGCCTGGGCAAGCAGGACGGAGAAGGCCCTGTGCTTTGGAGGTTTCTCATAACAAGCTAGGGGGCCTTAAATTCTCTGCTGCTATATGCATCTTCAACTTACAGATGTAGGAATACGACCTGAGTCAGGGTTCTGGAAATTCTTTCCTCCCTTTGTTGCCTTTAGTCAAGGTGGCATTGCTTTTGGTACAAGCGGCTTGTAATTGAAGAAACCATCCGTACTCTAGTTGCCCCGTGCTTATGCCCAGCAGGCAATGGAGAAGTTGATACCGATTTCGATGAGGCTGTTGGATTTCCTTAAATCATTCCTGCAGAATCCTGAATAGGGACCTCATGATCCCTTAAGACTTTGTCATCTCCATGCATCCCTAGGGCCCTTGGGTCCCAAAGGGTCCCCAGTTTTGAGAAACTCTCACCGGCATAGCCATAGACATCTTGTTTAACACGCAGCAGCTTAGGCCGTGAGATCACGGCTGAGGGTGCGATCTACCAAGGCAAGCAGTGGACTCTATATGAGCTATAGTCTAAACTCCTAGTATCCCCCTATATACCCTGATAATGGTCCCCTATAACATCCCCCATATAACCCTGTTCAGGAGTTTAGACTGTAGCTCATATCTGGGTTCTAAAGGTTCCAAATTGTTTGGGAGCAACAGTTTCGGGTTGCAACGCTACTGTCATCTCACAATGAAGCCCCCAGCAAGATGAGCGACGCATAAGCTATAGTCTAAACTCCTTAAAAGGGGGGTTTTATAGGGGGCTGATACGGGATACTACAGGGGTTATTAAGGGAGATACTAGGAGCTCACACCATGGCACGCATGGCCCCTAAGTATTCTGTCCCCAGACCCTAATACCCACATATGATTTTGGGACACGTGATTGCCGGCTGGACCCTTGAAGCCGGCGGACATCCTGTTTCACGTGCACGAATTTGCGTTCAGTTTTCTGGCATTTGGAGGCACGTTCCCTTACGGTTCAAGCATTTGAATTGAGCATATCGTCCAATTGCACTATTGAAGGCCTGGAGCAAGGAAGGGACGACTTAGAAGAAGGGAGCAACAATACTAATCAGCACAAGAGGGACAACAGTTTCTAGGACCGTTACCGAGTCAGGCGCAAGTCTAAATCCAAGATAGGTCGTGATCAATGTAGTACACTTCTTGTGATGTGCTGATGCTTCTTTTTCACTTCCTGGTTCTTCGTAGGGAATATGTAATCCCAATATAGCCCCAGCGTAGCTTATTCCCTACTAACCCAAAACCTATGTATGTATTTTATATATATATATGCACATATATATGTACATGCATATTCCCTAGTAACCCCCAGTAAGTTCAAACATCCGCTTTTCAATCCTTGAAAGCGACTCCTACAATGAAGAGCCAGCCATGCCCCTGCTTGAAAGACCCAGGCTCTGAAGAATTAGTGGTACTAATAGTACCAATGCTAATAATGCCTAGAAGTAATAGTAGTAAGATAGCAGTAACGGTATTAATAGTGCAAATAGCAATAATAGAACAAATCGTACCGTTGCAGTTACGCATGTGCTTTTAGTAGTCCGAAGCCCTGCCCTCTCTGAACTTCTGCTTGTGATTAGAGGTGTTCATCTTCTCAGAGTGAAGCCCCTACTACTCCTGCCTCAGTGTATAAACATCTATATGAGCTGTAGTCTAAATTAACAGTATCCCCCTGAATAACCCCCCACAGTAGTCCCCCATATAATCCCCTATTTAACCCACTTTTAGACTATAGCTCATATGCTGGATTATTTTTGTTGTCAACTGCAGGGTTGCTCTGTTAGGGTGGGATTGTAGGGTTTAGGGTTTAGGGCTTAGGGTTTAGGGCTTAGGGTTTAGGGATTGCCTGTGAATGCCTGATGCAGTATGCAGAATTCTGCCCTGCAGGACAGTACAAGGAAGGAAAGAAGGAAGGGCGCTGCCCTCAGAGTGGCCATACTTTAAACTCCTTAATGGGGGTTTATATTATATACGGGATTATATAGGGGACGATTATAGGGCTTATTACAGGGTATACTAGGAGTTTAGACCCTAAACCCTAAACTCTGAACCTTAAACCTTAAACCCTTATAGTATAGGGGTTATTACGGGGCATACTAGAAGTTTAGACCCTCAACCCTAAACCCTACACCCTATGTTGTAGGGGTTATTGCGGGGCATACTAAGAGTTTAGACCCTAAGCCTTAAACCCGCATATTATAGGGGTTATTACGGGGCATACTAGGATTTTAGACCCTCAACCCTAACCCTATATTGTAGGTGTTATTAAGGGGCATACTAGGAGTTTAGACTAGAGCTCAAATGAGAGTGATGTGTGAGGACTCCTTGCCTCAATGCACAGTAGGGCGTGTCTTCACTTACCAAGGCAATAGGCTCAAACAGCCTTTTTAGGTTTGGGGTTTGGGATTTAGGGTTTAGGGTTAGGGTTTAGGGTTTGGGATTTAGGGTTTAGGATTTAAGGTTTGGGGCTTAGGGCTTAGGGCAAATCATAGCAGAATAATGTCAGAACTTAAAAGACCTCAATGTGTTAGTATGGGGGAGTTCGCAAAATTAGGGGTGTTTTTGAGGGGTGTCCCCAGAGTAAGAACTGTATTATATTGGGGCTTTATATTGGGGTCCCCTACTGGAAACTACCATATGTTTTAGTTGACGGATCATCATGCCCTTGCTGCAGTCCAAGGCATGCTTCCATTTCCTATCCGGATGGCTCCACGTACAACGGGCAGGCCAGATGTTGAAGCAGCAATTGAACTTGTATAGCTGTGTCAAATGCCCATGTATCGTATAAGAAGAAATGAACCCAAGCAACAACAATAAATCCCGGTTTCCTACGGTAGTGACAAGAACCGGCTGTACTCCTGAAGTCTCACATACTTCAGTGCGGGGTCTCTATCAGGCGAACGCTTATGCAGGTAGGGTGCAGTGGCCACACTGCAGCGAGTGGCTTCAATGCCAAAACCCCAAACCCACAATCCTGTCAAGTGCTCCGAGGTTGCTGATGGCAAGTTGCATGGCCGGTGCCCAAGCAGCTTTCAAGTCTCTGAAGCTCGAAAACGCAAAGAGCCCAAGCTTGAGAGAGCCAGTCATAGCCATTATAGGCGTTAGTACCATCTTTAACATCCCACGCCTCCCGAACGCACGTTTCCAAGTTAGATGAGCCCCTCACAGATGCAGCCTTTCACGTTTTACTTCCAGAGCATCCTCAAAGCCATTTCGAAGTTAGACCAGCCCTTCATGCAGTCCTCTTTGCTGGCGGTGGCTTGGAACTGTAAGTTCTCCTCAGGCAGAGGCAAGTACGTTTGGAGCAACGGTCACTCGTACGAAGGCCGTGCGCCCAGAAACTTGGAAGGCGCATAGTCACAGCAAGATCATAGAATTTACTGGTCTACTCGAGAAGCGGCAGAAACGGGACAGAAGTCTGGGCATTGCTCAAGACTGGGGGCCTCCTGAAAAAAGGTCAGCTTGAGGATTAGAATAGGGGGTGCAGGGGGAACAGTTTTGGGTCGAGGGTATGGGCTTTAATTAGGGGGTTGGAATCTGATACATCAGAGAACATGTACTAACACTGCTCCCTTACGGATCTTCAGTTGCTTCTATGCTGATGTCGCACCCCAATCCGTGCTTTTTTGGGACCACCGTACTCACCTATCATCGTGTATGATCATCTCAAAGCTTCTAAAACGCCTTTAACCCCAACTGCTGGTACTCAAAATCCTGTATGCCCCTGGGTATCGAGTTCTGGGAGTTTAGTGCACCTGGATCATGCATCATGCTTGTAGCAGTCATATTCTATGTGTAATGCTGCTTCGCCTCAGGTAAATGGGTGGATGATCAGATGCATGGCGAAGGGGTCCCGCGCTGAGACATGTGTACAGGGAGGTACATGGGTGGATACGAGTAAGGATAGAAGTACTCCAAATAAGGTGATATCTATCGGAACCCTACTTACAACGTGTTTGAAACTGTCCATGGAGCTCCAAGTGCACACCCGTACAAGCTTGATGAAAGGCTGCCAAAGGTATGGCACCTTTTCGGTGCCTCTGCACACTGCGGTGCCCGAATGTGAATTTGTGCGTATATAGTGAGTACACACGCGTATGTATGTATGTATGTATGTATGTATGTATGTATGTGTTAAAAATACACTTCTCTGTGATCACTTCGGTGAGTCATGACATGCCAACTTATGTTTGGCTCAAGACTTGATTGTGCCTGAGGCAGAAAGGACTTGCTTGGATGCAGCTTGGGAACACTTAGGTGTGCCTTGGTGTGTATCTACTTGGAAGACCTCAGTTACTTTTTCAGTATTTATGCAGGACCACGATGTTCATCAAACTTTTCAGGACGCTCCGCATGAGAGCGCGATTTCCCA